TATTTTTAGTTTTTGACTTTTTTCTCCTCATTGCCAGGTACGATTTTTCTGAAATTTTCAGAATCTTATTATCTAGCACTATTGCAGCCTGTGTATAAATTTGGATGGAATTAAAGTCTTGGGCAGAAAAATAGTTATGACGCYGCTTGAAAATTCGATCTAAAATTTGAAGCATATGAAACATCGCGCTTTAGAAATATTACCATTGAATGGATATTGAAAAATCGTACCTGGGGATGAGGAGAAAAAAGCCAAAAACAAAAATTAAATTGACGCAATAGTTTTGCGAAAGGAGCGAGAATAAAATTGTCCAAAATTCGCTCTGAATTAGTTTGGTTCCACATTAAATTCATTTTTATATTTATTTTAATTCAAGTTTCAACAAGCCACTCTAATAATAATGTAGCTGTCGTTTATTTATCCGTCAGATCATATCGTTTATTTGTCGATTAAGAGATAACGTAAAACAATTAATATCAGTCCAAAAATATGAAAGGTACCGACTGATTAGTTTTAACGGACGGCAGTAAAATAAATAAATAAATTAATTAAAAATAGCGTGAAGCCCGGAGACACAGCTCGAATGTTTATTAAAATTGAAGTAAAATGCAGATTAACTACATTTACAAAGCTGTCGAGAATCTCTTTACAAACGAATATCTAGATCGAAGTTGACGGTGAAAAACAGAGCAATCTCAAAATAAAATAATTGATAATTTTTATTCTAAAACTGCATATCAAACTTTCCACATAGAAAAGTTGTCGTTCCGCTCGAGCCGTTTCTTTTACCATATAAGGAATGTACTTACCATATTTGAAAATTGGAATATAATTTTCTTGACTAAATAGGCGAATTTCATGCTCAAAACTGCTCAAACTTACAGTAAATCGAGTGAAAACATCCCAGCTAGTCAGCCATCTTGTTTTTGGCCGAAAAAGGACTGGAAATGTGTAGGAGAGGGGAGCGTCGTTTGACACTACAGGAAGCCCGCGAACGACAACAATTGTTTGACATGTTATCGTCTTAAAGATGATAAGTTTAATATTAATTAAGTCTCATATGATGTTTCTCACTTTGCAATTTCCATTCAGTATATGAAACTACTTAAGAGATTTAAGTAAGGCATTGTATTTGTGTGAGTTGAGATACTCTTCATCGGTAGCTAGAAGAAGGTATCTCGATAGCCTCGAACATAATTTCTAGTCTGTATAAAATAAACGATAAAGATTCAGGTTGAATTGGTGTTTCATATTCTTTTTCAAAATGTGGCTGACATATTCAATCGGCTTTTTGTATGTGTTTAATATCTGAAGCTGGCCAGCGGTACATAAATTTGAATGGTCGCGGAGGAACTGAGCAATATAAGCCGGAGTATCTTTTCCTCAGAGGTTATAGGATTCGGACAGTTACCACACAATGAACCCAAAAGCCTAATAAATATTATTCAAAACGTGATTACTTCGCAAGGATAATTCATTTCAAGTATTACAAATAGCAACCTTTCTTGAACTCTGGACTAGAATTATAAAAAAATATAACTTACCTTGAGTTTTCACTAGCTAAAACACAAAAGAAATGTTGACCAAGCGAGAGCTAAAGTTTTTGTTATCTTTCGCTTTTCGACTTTCATTTTGAAGGAGGTTCCCCGTTCCCCTGCTGCGTCGCAAAAACAATACGTCATAAACAAGTGAAACGATATGCGCATGCGCAATCTGTGTCTTATAGCAGGCTAAATRTAAATATATATATWTTTAATTCATTCATATTTCTCTCCAGAAATTAGAATTTCTCTAATATCAAAGYCTAAGAACTAATATYATCAAGAAAGGTCATTTTACATGTTTTGATATTTCTGGTTATCTAAAAGTAAAATTAAGGGAAATTATCTTGGTGGTACTAAAATTTGGCGTCCTTTCACTTCATGTCAGTCGGAAGCAATAAAAACGTTTTCCAACTTTTTTTCGCATCACCAGAAATAACATATTCATTTCTAATTTAACCTAAACTTTCCAATAAATTAAATGTTGTTTGTTAATTGTAACGTTCCTGAGAAGCTACACAAGTCCTTACCCTCTCTCTCACTACTAACCATTTACTGCCACAACTTCAGTTTTCTGCATTTGCAGCTGCATATTCAAGCTACTTGATATAATGCGAGGATCAGCTCAATTTGATAAACTTTTTACTCGTATAAGAGTATAAGACTCACACAGTTACAACACAATGAACCCAAAAACCCAATGAAATATTATCCAGAACGTACATATTTCGTGAGCTTGATTCCCTCGTGAAGATTCAGCGTTAAAGTATATTCTCAAACGCAAACTTTCTTGAACGTTCAAAACTAAGCAGGAACTAATAAATATGTCTGTGAGCTTTCCCAAACTTACCTTAAGTTGTCACTAGCTAATAAAAGACAAAAGGAATGTTGAAACGATAGCTAAAGCTTCTTACATCTTCATGGTCTTGGTCTACGCTTGGACTTTCATTTTAAAGGGGGTGTACCGTTCCCCTGCTGCGTCGCAAAAGCAATACGTCATTTACAGGTGAAACGATAGTGCGCATACTCGAGGCGTGTGTCTTATAGACCAATCTCGTACACAGAGACTGCGTTTCTTCTTTTCCTTGATTCTTTTGATATAAATACATCCAAAAATACTGAGTTCCTCAGCGGCTATGCTCTNCAGAAATAACATATTCTTTTCTACTTTAACCTAAACTTTCCAATAAATTAAATGTTATTTTTTAATAGTAACTTAACGTTCGTGAGAAGCTACACAAGTCCTTCTCCTCTCTCAGTCACTACTAACTTTTTACTGCTACAACTTCAGTTTACTGCATTTGCAGCTGCATATTCAAGTTACTTGACATACTGCGAGGATCTGCTCAATTTGATAAACCTTTTACTCGTATAAGAGTATAAGACTCACACAGTTACAACACAATGAACCCAAAA